CACACCCACGATAACCAAAGCTAAAAATAAATAGCTAGAGGCACCAAGGAAGAGAGCTAAACAAAGGCCTGTAGTAGAAATCTCACTCATCAGACTTCAATATCAGCAGGACTGAATCCAGGCTACCATGGGAATTCCTTAAGCATATTCACGTCACCACACAATTTGTTGACTCCTATGTAAACTTTCTATTGATTCACTTATTAAGCACTGTGGAATATGCATAAGGCACTATGAAAGTGAGAGGCAAAGACCCTTCCCTCTTGGGGATTTGCATATTTATGTTACCTAAACAAAGGTCTAATTACATCCTTCATTTTTCCATTGCCTAAAAGATTTGATGCTGTAAATCAAGCCATATAAATCCTATAGTGAGATCTTAGATGAAATGAGCCATAAAAGAACATTTCAGAATGACGTCTTCCTTCCTTTACATCAACCAATTCCAACAATGTACTTCTATTTGCCCCATTCTTCTTTATGCAATCCGTTTGAAACCTTTTTGTATCTTTAACATTTAAAGAAAATTTAAGCATTTTTGCCTTAACCATTTATTTATTTATTATTAATTCTCACCCAAGGATGTGTTCACTAATTTTTAGAGAGGAAGCAAAAGACAAACGTCGATGTGAGAGAGAAAAACACCTCAACTGAGGATCAAACCCGAAACCTAGGTATGTACCCTAACCAAGCATTGAACCCCTAACCTTCGGGTGTACAGGATGACACTCCAATGAACTGAGCCACCTGGCCAGGGCTGCTCTAACATTTAAAGGACATTTTTGTTGCCCACCTGGTGTGGCTCAGTGGATTGAGCCTTGTCCCATGGACTGAGAGGTCTGGGTTAGATTCCCAGTCAGGGAACATGCCCAGGTTTCTGGCTCAATCCCCAGTAGGGGGAGTGCAAGAGGTAGCCAATCGATATTTCTCTTGTCACATTGATGTTTCTATCTCTCTCCCTTCCTCTCTCTCTCAAAAATCACTAATAACAAAAAGATAAAATTGATTTTATAAAAATAAAAAAATAAAGGACATTTTTGTTTATGGATGAAGTGTATCTTGAAAATACATGGTGAATAAAAGAAGCACAACAGCTAAGCTGTGCCAAAGAAAGATACCAGTGTATCTGTACATGAATATACATGCAAATATATATATGTGTGTATACCATGTGTGTATCTCCCAGTGAAATTTCTAGGTTCTCCATTAAAAAATATTTTTATTTTATTTAAAATTCTTTTCAGCTGTTAAAAGACCTATTTGAGATGAAAGAAATCTTTTCCATTGTTGGTAAAGCTGGGCTTTACTGGGAGGAATATCTACAAAACAATTTAAAGTCCTAATAACATTTTCTAAGGTCTTAGTCTATTTAATTATTATTTCATCATATGGTTTGTGTCCTTAATTTTTTATTAAATACTTTTACTGATTTTTACAGAGAGAGGAAGGGAGAAGGAAAGAGAAAGAAACATCAATTGGCTGCCTCCTGCACAACCCCTACATCAAGGTTCGATCCCACAACCAAGGCATGTGCCCTGACTGGGAATTGAACCAGCAGCCTTTCAGTGCACTGGATGACGCCCAACTGAGCCACACCGGCCAGGGCTGTCCTTAATCTGATTTCAATGTCCCACCACCAGCAGAGTATAAATTCTAAGAACATGCATATATTAAGAAAAAATCCATAAAGCAACTGGTAGAATTTACATTGAACAATAGTCAATTAAGACCTTCTACAGACACAGTGAAAACTTGCTAAGAAATAATATGATAAAAACAGATCAGTTCCAAAAAAGTAAAATAGAAACTTAACTGCCATTAACTTTTAAATTAAAGCAGCAAAACAGAAACAACCTTCTGACTAATTTGCCTAACTCACTGGCCCTGTTTCCTCATCCCCAAATGTAGCTCTGTGAAAACAGTCAAGATTGTTAACTGGGAGCATGATACTACATTCTCCTGTTTTCCTCTCATCTCACTGGGCCACACACTCCTTACTCTCCTTAGTAATGTCTCCTCTTCATCCTCCCACTCTGAATGTTGGAGTGTCTCCAGGACTCAATCCTTGAGCCTTTTTTCTTTTCTATCTACACTCACTCCCTGCGTGAGTCCAAAACTGAACTAATCTCCAGCCTACTTCTCCATCAGTCTTCCTATTTCAGTAAGTAGAGATGCGTATAATTATTTAAGCTAAAACTTTTGTAGTCATCTTTGATTGCCTTCTTTTAATATGAATACAATATCCAGTTCATCAACAGGTCATGATGGCTCTACCTTCAAATTATATCCAGCTTAACAGCATTTCACTGCTACTGCCTTGTTCTGAGCCACCAACACCTCTCACTTCAAATAGTGACAAAGATCCTCCTAACTAGTCTGTCCCTCTCCTTGCCCCTGATACAATCTAAGCAACATAGTAGCCACAGGGAAGAGGACATATCAGATTTCATTATACTACTCAAAACCTTCCAGTGGTTTCCCTAACAATTCTCAATGAGGCCCTACACGATATCCCCCACTCTTTCTCTATGGTCATATCTACTACTATCCTCCTCCCTCAGCTCCAACCACACTGGCCTCCTCGCTGTTGCCTGCACAAACTAGGCACTATCCCACCTTAGATTTTGCAGGTGCTATTTCCTCTGCTTGTAATGCTGTTCCCCAAGACAATCCATGTGGCTTGCTTTCTAGAACTCTTCAGGGCTCTTTACAAGTGCCAACTTATCCATAAGGCCTTCCCTACCACCTTATTTAAAATTGCAACCCCCTATTCTGCTGGCACTAGCCTAGTCTCATTTCTCTGCTTTATTTTTCCTCATAGCAAGCATTAACACCTGGCAAACTATATATTTTAATTTTTTTAAAATATGTTTTTATTGATTTATTTACAGAAAGAGGAAGGGAGAGAGAGATAGAAACATTGATCAGCTGCCTCCTGCATGCCCCAATGAGGATCAAGCCCGAAACCTTGGTCATGTGCTTTGGTGGGAATCCAACCATGCATGGGGTGACCCTCAATGCACTGATCCACGCCAGCCGGGCATATTTTCATTATTTTTTTTTTTTACACTAGAATGTAAGCACTATAATGGCAGGGATTTTTACTGCTTTGTTCACAGCTGTCCCCAGTACCTAGAACACACCTATAAAAAAATTTATACCTAAAGGCTTTCAAAAGTCTTTCATTCAACTGTTGGTTGATACTGAAATATTATTAGGCAGAACTGTACTTCAAAACACAAAATATTATGAGAAAGAGAAAACTCCATCTCCCACACTCATGCATAGTGTTATAAAAGGAAAAGCCAGTTTGTGTCTAAAAACTGAATTAAAATTGATATTTTACTGTTAAATTTTGTTAAAGCCTTAGTACTGTGCCTTAAGAGCCCCAAGCCATCCCTATAGGTGTTGTTTTAGTTTTAGTAGGCATACAGAGGAGGGGAAAAATTACAGGCTTTTTCCTTTCATCAGTCACCAATGACAGAAGGCCTCAAGTGACGTGGTGCCACAAATGTTAAGGACGTTAAAGGAAGAAGGGATTCTAGAAAATAAAATAATCTTCACCAATCCCCAAAGAGTAATCTCTCCAAATATCTCTGCAGACATTTTTTTCTAATTTTCTATCCCTTAACAAAGGTGTTCTTAGTATGTATGTGAAATCTTAGTTGAAGAAACATGATTACATAAATATACATACAGAAAAACTGGTACTCATTCTTTTCTAAAAAATATTTTAACTAAAACTAGACTTAGAGTTTTTGTTGAAAATGTTTTGCTGTGAAACTGTCTTAAAAGGATACTCACTTTGCTAAGACGTGGGTTGATGCAAACTGTATCTTAAGGCTGAACAGTTTTGTTTACTATTATTATTTAATACATTATTCCCGGCTTCCACCCACCTACCAAAAAGGAAAAGACAGAGAGAGGGGGGAAAAAAGCACACTGGAATGCTATATCCAAAGGAATCTGTTCTGAAAAGCTATGACCTAAGTGTTTAACACTGACACTGATAAAGTTTGGGCGTAGATGTCACTTGTCTCATCCATTTAAAAAGAAAAAAAAAAAAAGCAAGCTTCAGATCCAAGAAGGCAAGCAGTAAGAAACAGGCGTCAAAAATGAAAAAAGTCTTTTCTCCCTGGCCTCCAGTCGACACTGCGCACTCATTCCCCCAATCTTCCCAGCCACCCATCATCCTTTAACGGCCCCTTTTCCCAGCGTCGGTTTCCCAGCTCAGCCCTGCACTGCGCCATCAAATGAGTCAAGGGGAGGGACCGAAGCCCTTCCGAGAGAACCCAGGCAGTAACACCCGGAGCGCCCAACACGGGGGAAATACCCAACTACTAAAACTCGAGAACAGGATACGCAGTGTCAACAGGGCGTCGTGCCGGTCCCGAGCGTCCAAAGGTCCTCGCCAGCTCCATGACACTGCCAAATCGACAGGATTCCAAAAGGTGACTCGACCGTCATCGCAGAACCCGGGGACAGTCTGGGATGAAGTCCAACTAGCCTCCCGCCCTGCGCTCGCCCAGCAGCCCAGCGGTCTCCGACGCCCCCTCCCCCGAGAGCCGGGGCTGAAACTTCGCGGCCGAGGCACCGAGGGTGGGAAGGGGGGATGCACCGGACCGCGGCAAGGCCGGGGAGTTAACACGCCGGGTGACTCACTGGCCGCCTCCGCCTGCAGCTGCAGGCGAGGGCACCGGCGTGCCGGTGAGGACCGTGCCCTCGGGGCCACCTCCGCCCCTACCCCCGCTCCAGTTATAATAACCCAGCGCCCCGAAGGCGAAAGCCCACGGCGGGCACGCTGGGCGGCGCGGCGCCCACGAGTTCAGGAACGCACCCGGCACGCGAAATAAATAACAATGTCATTAAATCGCCGCCGGAGCGCTCGGCAGGGGAGCGGGCGCCACCGGGAGCTGACTTTGTCTGGAGCCCGCACCCCGCCTCCCGCGCGTGCCCCACGTCCCTGAGGGGACCTCCGCGCCGCCGCAGCCCGGCCTTACCCGCCAGCTCGTCGGGCTCCAGCCCGCTGTCCGCGTCGATCCCGCACAGCACGAAGTAGTGCGCGAAGCGGCAGGCGGCCGGGGAGGAGCCCGGGCCGGGCGCCGCGCCGCTCCCGCTCATCCCGGCCCCGCTGCGCCCGCCGCCGCTCGGGAAGGCTCGCTGCCGCTCGGGCTGCGGTCTCCTCGCGCCCGTCCTAGGGCGATACCGGCGCGCCCATGACCGCGCAGCCGCCGCTCGTCACCGCAGCCTCGCTCCTCGCGCGGCGCCGGAGAAGCGGCCGCGGGCTCGCGCCCAGTCAGTCCCGATCCCGGTCCCGGGTGGGGGAGGGGCGCGCGGAGGGAGTGTCGGCGGGAGAGGCTCGCGCCGCCGCAGCTGCGCTCCGGAGCTGTGAGCCCCGGCGTCTGGCGCCCGTCGGTCAGCTGAGCGACGTTCCCGCTGTGGGAGTGCGGGGAGGGCGGGCGCGCTGGATCGGCGCGTGGGGCTGGGGAAGGGAGACGCAAGGGAAGGCGCGCGCGAGGAGCACGCGTTTCGGCCGTGCGCGCACGCGCCCAGCGGGCTCCGGGAAAAGGCCAGGCGCGGGCGGGGTGCGTGCCCGCCTGCCGGGGTTGCGGCGCAGGGGGCGACCACACACACGCTATCTTCTGCGCTCTGCGAGAGGGTTAGCCACAGAGCGGGATTCTGTCTTCTAAAGTGATGCTAGACTAATTTTTTTTTTTAATGGAGCTTTAGGCAAGGTTAACAGCCAATCTGAGACCATTTCCCACAACGATCTGGACCGTCAACGTCTTTTAAACTGTGACAGGGGCAGATGCCTACCTCGTTTTAAGATCCGAGCCCTTGAATCCTTCCCCTAGCCCCCACCCCCATTCACAAGCCATCCTTACTCAGTGAACTGGTGACAACTGCGGGGGGGGGGGGGGGCTGGCACTCAATAGCCACAAAGCATTTAGACTTCTAGAAGAACTACTATTGCGAACTTCTCCTCCCCGCCCCACCAATTCCCTAATTTATCCTGACATTTTCCAGGTCAGTGTAAAATAGCCTAGGCGCTCCAGTTTCCCAGCTCTGTACTCGTTTGTTATTATCAGCTCTCCCTGCAGGTACAGTCGGAGGCTGATAACGCAACAGGAATTTGACCCTGAACTCTGTTCCTCACAAGGCCATGGCTTACTCTGCTCTTTCATCTGATTATCCATTCTTCAGAAGAGCTTATCAACCAGTTCTTACTCCTTTGAAAGGTGAAAAACTGAATGGATTCCATCTCCACATTGTTGTTTCTGTTGGGATTTGGGTATAAGGTGGGATGAGGTGTGATGGGTGGTCATCATGAACACCACTGTATACACACACAAGCAAGCCTTCCAGGGAAGTGGACTGAGAGAATGAACCTCAATGATTTGACCGAATAATGTTTTTCCTGGAAGATACCTATGCATGCATACCATCATTTACTGTAGCTTTTATCCTCATTTCTCTCCTCAATTTGAAATGTAAGAAAAATCAAGAAAACAGAATGAGCCACAGCCTGGATAACTGACCTTTAGCTTCTATTGCTCTCTGCCCTTTTCCTTCAAAACACTTGTGATGACTTTTTCTGTGTCTGTCTTGCAAGCGTCACAGAGCAAGAGTCATGCTCTTGGCTTTGTCATATTTTGAAATCTAGCAGAACCCTGGTCCTGTATATCCCCTCAACTTATAGTTATTGGGTGAATAATAGAAGGGTGGTTTTCTAGGTAGTAACATACACAAACGTTAATATCTGTAACATATTTATGAGCACATGCTAATTTGTTGTTTTACAATTACTGTTTTCCATTATATAGAGAGTACTAAAATATGTAAAACAAGTTCACTAATAAAGGGAGGGAGTGACTGGAGGTCTATGTGTTTCTCTTGTTTTTGTGGGTAGCTTCTTACAGAATGTTTGTTAGATTCTAGACTAATCAAAGAACAATAGAAAACTAACTTACTGTTTGCACTAGCCAAGAGATATGTCACTTTTTGGTCATTTGAAAATTAACTGATTTATGAGCTTGAAAGCCCTGCCATAAAGTTTTTAGGATGATGAAATAGAATGAAGCCTAAACAGAATGTATTGAAATATGACATATACATCTCATTAAAATAAACAACATCTCTAAAATCTTTCCTAAAGCTTTCTGGAAAATAATCACACATTGCAAGATTACACACTCATTTGACTATATCTGGGTACGTTTCTAATTATCACTTCAGAATGACACCGTGTAGGTATATTCTGCGGTAAGCTGCAATGAAACAGTTGAAAGGATAATCGAGAATTAACTATACATCATTGCATACATGTTTTTCTCCAAAGTAATGACAGAAATAAATTAGCTTAGTGAATACAAATGACTTGAAATAAATCTTCCAAAATACTTCAATTGTGTTGAGAAGGAGAGAGATCATATCCTCTTCCCATACTAAGACAACCCTTGTCAACACCATTCTTCACCTCCACCGTGCTATCCACACATGCACACAAACAAGAGAAAAGGGGTTTGCTAACGTAACTATTCAGAGCCCCACACATTCATGGGACCACATTTTCCTTGTAGTCAGCCACTGTATGCCACCAGATCAGCAGTGCTATCAATTTCTATTCTGTTTCCTGTAGGCAGCAGCTGCTGGCAGAGCTCAGCTACTCCAAGCATAAGTCATGCCCTCCATTTGAGGTTTTACCAGAGTCCTCCAAAGGTAACAGATCACTGCTCAGATGCTTGGAGCTCTGTCTTCCATTCTGCTGTTGTTCCTTTGCATTTGCTGCCTGGATTGAATTGAGAATTTATTGCAGTGGAGACAATAATCCCAATTTTAACCCCTACATAACACAAAACATGCCAGATAGTCACAATTCCTACTGAATAAAATCTTGAGTGACATTTTCTTCTGGTAGGGTTTTAGCTTTCTGGGAAGATCTTATCGCAACAAAAGGTATTTGGAAAATCAATAATCATATTCCCTTATAGTTTCAGAAAAAGGATCAGTTTATGTTAATAAGAGTTTGGTACAAAGCAGATGACTCACAATTCTGCATAAATCTGTTTCTACCTTATGCAATAAGTCCAATGTTATCCAAAAATATCTCCTTTATTTATTTAAGTCATTGTGCTATGCTTTGAGCACATGAAACTAATACATCATCCCTCTTTTTCAGAAGTTTATAGTCTAGTAGGAAGGAAAATACTTTCCAAAAATAATTAAAATACCAAAAAGAGAAGATAAAAAGAAAATGTGGTATATTCCACATGGCAAGTTCAGAAAGTGATATGGGATTTAGTGAGCAGAGATATCAAATCTTGTTAAGAAGTCCAGTTAGATGGTATGAAAGTACTAATATTTGAGATGGGCCTTACAAGAGGAATAAAGTTTTATCAGGTAGATATGGGAAGGAAGACATTCCTGTCACAGAAGAAATGACTGGGGTATAAAAAGTGTGTAGAGAACAGTAGTTCAGTTGGAGCCAGATTATGAAGAGCCTTGAATGCCAGGTGAGTAGGGTTGACTCACTTTCTTATATTCTTATACCTACCTTGCCAATACCTCTTAGGTAGCTTTGAGTAAGTTTAACACAGAATATTTGAGACCAGGTAAGCCAGTCCCTTTATTTTACAAATAAATACCAAAGTCTCACAGAATTTTGGTGACACACATATTGTTAGTGAACTAGAAGCAAACCATAAAAGACTAGAGTATAGGATATCTTAAAGGCCCTTTCAATTCTAATGTCTATTAACCCATGAAATCTCTTTACTTGGGTTGACTAATATTTTGCCCTATATGCCACTCATAATTTCAGAGATCCACTTTGGAATTTTATTATTTTTTTTATATGTAATGAAAAAATTAAAATATACAGAAAGACTAAAGTAATGAAAACCTACATACCCATCACCTAATTTTAATATTATATTTTACCATTTTTGTTTCATCTATTTGTTTTTTTACTAAAGTGTTTGAAAGTAAATAAGGCATAACATTTGTCAACATTTTTAAGACAATTTTTTAAAAATTATTTATTTGATTTGAGAGAAAGAGAGAGAAACATAGATATGCTGTTCTACTTATTCATGCATTCACTGGTTGCTTCCTGCATGTGTCCAGACCAGGGATGGAACCAACAACCCTGGCGTATAGGGACGATACTCCAACCAACTGATCTACCCGGCCAGGGCCATTTGTCAACATCTTTTTTTTATCCTCACCTGAGGACATTTTTCCATTTTTTGTTCAGATAGAGTGGGAGGGAGAGAGAGGGAGAGAAAGAGAGAGAGAAACATAGACGTGAAAGGGACACATTGAGTGGCTGCCACCTGCACAACCCAACCAGGGCTGGGGACAAACTGCAACCAAGGTACGCGCCCTTAGCAGGAACCGAACCTGGGTCTCTCGGAACTGCAGGCAGACACTCCAACCGCTGAGCCAAACTGGCTAGGGCTATTTGTCAACATTTTTATTATCTCTGTGTCTTATCTAAAGTTTCACATGATTATTTTTTTTTTTACTTTTTCAATGAAATCTCCAGACCTTCCTTACTTCACATAATATGTCCAACATTAGTTCCCATTCACCATCTAGTCCTATTCTCTCACACTCTTTTTTCTAATAATACTATGGTAGATTCATATATGTAATGGTTTTCTCAGGACTGCTTCCATCTGAGAACCCATTTTGTTCATTCCACCCAAATTGTTCTCTCAGGAGCTACAATGATATGATACAACTTCACACACACATACACACCACAGTCGATCGGTCTAATAGAGGTGGGAACATCTGGCCGGAGGGCCTTAGAAGGCCTGTGAGAGCAAAACCAGCTAACATCACATGCTTCACCAAAGTAGCCTGACCAGATATAGCAGGCTAATTTTTCAGTTGATAATTTGTATGGCCTGTGAATGATGTTATAACTATCCAAATGGCCCTTGGCAGAAAAAAAGTTCCCCATCCCTAGAAGGCTGGTGGCCCCGGCTAAGCCAAGGAACAATTTCCCATTGGTCTTGGACTTAGTTCCCAGAATTTTGAGGTGGTCTCTCTGCAGGTGGACAGCATTGTTAGCCAAAAAGCTCAGGAAGTATCAGTGGTCATGTTTCTATTAGGTGAAGAAAGATAGTCTGCAATGAGAGAGGATAATGAGGTTGACACGCAGAACAGAGAAGACAAATGGGGCAAGCATTCTCTATTGTTTTCCTAAGCCAGTTTAAACCATGGTTCTGATACTTGCAGCCAAATGTGATTTGGCCTAGGGGGTAGC